CCCGGCAGGGAAGGGGTTTACCCGGCTCCCGCTGCCCAGCACAACGCGCCCCTAAACGCCCCCCGGCTCCCCCGGCCCACAAACCCAGCGGCCAAGGCGCTCTCCCCTCCGCAGCCCGGGCAGCAGCGGGGCCGCACCCTCAGCCCTCACACACACAACCGGCCCCACCCGCCCCGCCGGCCCTTTATACCGCGGGCCGGCAGCGCTGCCCAATCAGCGCTCGAGCGCCGCCGCCCACTCCCAGCCCGCCGGTCCCCGCGGCCCCGCCCCGCCCGCTCCGCTGAGGGAGATCGGGAACTGGGGACAGGAACCTGCTGCTGGGGGAGACACCCTGGACATGGAATTGCACACGGGCACCTGAAGCCCAGGCGATTTGCTTGCCTTGGCAAGGCCCTGCGTTGCTCCCAGTCACGGGAAATCTCTGTTTCCCTGCCCATCCCTGGAGACAGGTGGCCCCTAAAATCCCCGGCAATCAGGAAGCACAGGCTGGAGGAGCTGGCAGGACCCAGTGGCCGTGTGTGCCGTGTGACACCGTGTCCTGCAGCCCCACGGACCTGCACAGCAGGGACAGGTCCTGGCAGCGTTTCAGTGCCGAGGCCAAAGCTGGGGCTCAGGGACAGCTGGGGCACATGGCAGCTCTGGGAATCTCTGCCATGGATGTCTGGGCATTCCAGGACTGCCTGCTGGGCAAAGGAGCTTCTCTGCAGACTGTGGAACCAACAGGTCTCATGGACTGTAAGAAGCCAAAACTGCTGCAGGACTGTAGAGGAATCTGGGTCAGAAGAGACAGTTCAAGGTCTCTAAGTCTGACCTCCTGCTCAGGCCACAGTCACCGATGGGATCGGACAGGGCTGCTCAGGGAGGGATCCAGTCATGTTTTGAAACATTCCACGGATGGGGATCCAACAACCTCCCCAGGCAACCCATTCCATGAGCGACTGCCCTGACCAAATACCTCCCCCTCCCATGCGGTTGGAAGCAACAGCTGGGCTGGCAGGAGCAGAACCTCCCTGCTGGGCCATTCCCCAGCAGCCCAAATGCCCTGCACAGGGCTCGGTGCGGAGGCCTGGGCGGCTCGTTCCTCCAGCTGGGCATTTTAGGAGCTGCCCTTGCCCTGTCACTGCCAAGTCCCTCTGGCAGTGGTGCAGCTCCTCAGCTGGAGTGCCTCTGAGGGACCCCCGGCCACGTTTCCCAGCAGCTGAAGGAAGGGAGGGTCACCCCCCAAGCTGGGCTGCCTTTCTCTCGCTGCCTTTTCCCCACCTTTACACTGCAGTGACAAGAGCTGCACTTTCCCAGGGAACGGGGCAATGCCAGGGCAGAGCAGCAGGCAGGAACCCCCTTCTTTTCTGCAGGCCAGTGACTAACTGTGTGTGAAGGGACAGCGACTCTGGTACCAACTCCACCTCCCACTTCTTGTCACAGATCGATCTGAGGCACTTGTCAGGTCAATACCTGCCCTTTTCAGGAGCACCAGGCTTGTGGTCAGTGTCCTCACTGTAGCCCACGAATCCCTCTAGGTGTTAAATCAGCCTCTCTCTCCTGATTCTTCCAATGAAGAATTAGCGTTTAATGAGAGATACAAATTATCCTGAGAGCGTCTATGTTACAAGCTCAGTTTGGCACTGTTGCTATCCTGGAAAGTGTGGAACAGGGACTGTCAGTTCTCCTTATGCTGCTCTTAAACACCATCCCTACATTCTCAGGAGAACTCTGGAGGGAGAGACAGAGAGTTTAAACCATGAAACCCTGGCACTGCAATTGTTATTTCTAAATATGTGTTTCTATCTGATACAGTCGTTGGGGTGATTAGTCTGGAGAGTGTTTTGTACCTCAGGCAGTAAGTCTGATGGATCAGCCTCCTCGTGAGCAGGAACCAGCACGTTCCCCAAAGGAATGTTCTGTCAGACTCTGTCAAACCCAGCACGGAGGTGAGCAGGAGTGGTGCTTGTGCACAGCTGAAGTGAAGCTCCCTTGGATTCGAACTGCTCTGGGAGATCTTTGTTGAGATGGGTATTTCTGCACAGCTTCTTGTGACATGTTGAATTTAGAGATGAGCTGATAAAGGCAGTGACACTGTTCTGTCATCACTGAGCTTTTGAGGATTTCAAACCCCTTACTCTTAAGTCCAGGGGCTCGTTGCCGGGGGTCCGTGCTCGGGGGTTTGTTCCCGGGGCTCGTTCCCGGGTCCCGCCCGTGCCCGCTGCGGGTCCTGGTCGGTGCCGCCTCTCGCCCGGCAGGCGGAGTGGGGGCCCCGCGGCGGGAGGACCGAGGTGGGATTGGGGCTGGGATCGGGACCGCTGCGGCCATAGCGGGGCTGGGACCCCCCCAGGGAACGGGACACGGTCCCGCTCGGGCCGGGGGAGCCGGGGCTGTGCCTTGGCACGGGAGAGCGGTGACCCCGGTGGGCACGGCCGGGACTGCAGCCCCGGGGCGCGACCCAAAAGCGGGGGATGGACCCCAAACCACGGCCGGGATGAGAGAGTGTGTCGTGGGTGGCCATAACCACTTGTCCCTCCCGCAGTCCTCGGCCCTGTCGCTCAAGTCCTGCCGGCCGGGCTGCAGCCTCTTGCCTTTGGCTGCTCCCAGCCCAGGGCACTTGGCAGAGCTGGGCTGGATCAGGGCTTTGGCCTGGCCTGGAAGAGAGGAGAACAAGGCAATTAAGGGCACTGGACAAGTCAAAGGCTCCTGCCCTTCACCCTTCTCTTCAATTGCTCACTAGAGAGTTTGAGCCATGAAAAATCCAGGGGGGACACCAAATGAAACGTGGCCTTTTCCAGCATCTTTATTCCTCTCTACTTCAGGCACTAAAAGGAGGCTTCAAAGCGGTTCTCAACCAAATGCGACTAACAAAGATAATATGCAATAAAATAAAAAAATCAATATATCAAAAACAACAATCAAAATTTCACACACAAAAAAAATAACAATGCAAAAACAAGCAAAAGTAAAACAACAATTAAGATCTGCATTCCTTGCCCCATTGGAACAGAACCTTCTTTACTCCAAACCTCCCTTGGGAGTCAGTCAATCCTCTGCCATTGGACTTTGGGCAAAGGAAGAGACACCTGGGATGCTGGAGCCCAGGAAAGGAGGGAGAGAAACCTGACAGGGAGAGGATTCAAGGCACTCCAGAACTCAGAAATGTGTTCATGCCTTGCCAGCCCACCCCCATTCTGTGCCACCCACCTGAGCTGGGCAGGTGAGGCCAAGGCTCCCCTTCCTGCTGCCAATCACTGTCCCAGCACACGGATCCCCGGGCTGGGCAGCACTTGGGAAAACCTGGGAAAGGCAAAAGGAAAATGGCACTGCCTGTCAGAAAACAAGTGTCCGTGAACAAACCTGCTGGACAAATTTCATCCCATCCCTCTGCCCCAATAAACCCAGGGCAGGCAGGTCTCTCCAGCCCAGGGAGAACAGGAAGGAGAACTGCAGGAACACAGGCAGGCACAGGCAGCTCTTGGCACTTCTTCCCTGCAGACCTCTCTGCACTTGGGGCTCTTGGCACTTCATTTATAAAGAATGGGGGGGCAGCAGCCCAGGAATGCCCCTCAAAACCAGGGGCCTGGGCAGCTGGAGATTAGAGGAGGGGAGTTGTGAGGGGAGACACGGAGAGAGAACAGGAACAGGGGTTGTTTGGGAACAGGCTGTGTGTCCAGCACAGATGGGAACTGGAAACACGGGAGGCTGGAGGAAGGCAGGGGGGGAGCACGGGCCTGCCTTGGATGGATCCTTTTTCCCTTTGCTCAGGGGCCTCAACTCCACCCTCTCTGAGAGCAGCAGGGAACTGCTGCAGGGGAAGAGTTCATTTAGGCACAAGGCAGTGATGCAGCCACTGGGGCAGGGCAAGAGGGGAGAGGAACTGACACAAAAAGGACACAATCACCGCTGAAAGGGACTTTATTGAGCTGCAACACAAACACATTCACAGCAGGCCAGGGCAAGAGGTGCCCACAGGACCACCAACACAGCAGCTGGGCTGGCAGGAACACCATCTTAACAAGTTATGGAGCCAGGGGCTCACAGTTGGGATCCATCCCAAAGATGCACTCAGGCATCAGGGCCAAGTCCTGCCCAGTCACTGCAGACAGTTCAGCCCCAGCAGCAGTGGCATTTTCTGCCTCTCCCTCCAATATCATTTGGGACCCAACAGCTCAAGGCTGTGGAATTTTACCTCCAAGGGTGGAGGGCACGGAACAGCTGCACACACCTTGGCTGCCTTGGCCCAGCACACACTCACAGCACCTGCAGCCTTCAGCCAGGGCCCCTGAGCACACACAGCCCTTACCCTGCTCCTCAGGGGCAGCAGCCCCGGGGCTCAGTTCTCAGGGAACTTCTCATCTTTCCTTTGGTCCTTTGATCCCTGGGCAGGGCAGAGACACGTGAGAAACAACTTCTTGTAATTGATCCCAGAGACAACAACTCCATATTGTTCATAAAATCAGTATAATTACTGTGATCAGTGGATAGATTAAAGTGTTTAAAAACTTTGTAGCAGATGGTGAGAATCTTGTAAATATGTCCCACCAGTGGGGAGCAGGGACTTGTTCTACCTGACGCCCAAAGGTCACTACTTGACCCCCTATAGTTACTGTTTGCATTTGGTGATCAAGTCAAGTCTTATTTCAGATTTGTAGGGCAATAATTTGCAGTTACATACAAAAATCCCTGGTTTACTTACATTGCAGTGTGTTATTTTTCCAGCACGATATCAGTTGGTGCACTGCAGCAATTCAGGAGACAAAATCCAGTTAATTTTTGCAATCCAGGATGGGAATACAGCCCTCCAGATCAGTTCATTGGTACCCATTAAGTCCTTCTGTGCCTCATTTCTTTGTATTACAATATACACACTATGGTATGTGCACTCAGCCCAGTTCATAAGTTACTGCTGTTCCCCTGTGCACAACAATTACATCTTGGGGAACCATCAGAGAGCTGCCCAAACTCCCCATCCCATTCTGGAGTGAAGGGTGGGGGGTAAATACAGTGGGCATCCCTTGTGCTCCTGAATTCAGCACTCGGGATACACCTGGCCCAGCTCTTTGCCATTGGTTACCAAACAATTCCATGTCTCCACTGTCTACAAATCCAATACCAGCTCCCGTTCATCCCAGTCCCGTGTCCCCCCAGCCTCACTGCCTGGGCCAAGATGGGAGCACTGGAAGCAGAGTGGGGAAAGGAATTCTATTATCCTGATGATGTTGGGCTGCAGGACACAGGCAGCAGGTACCCAACAGTTGGACCAATATTCGCCTCGGGAGGATGATGCCCAACTGTGCCATCCCCTGCCCCAGCTGATCCCTTTGCTCTTTTGGCAGCACTTCCCCAGAACAGCCCCGCAGGCAGAGCCCAGGGGACGGCCCTGCTGCTGTGACACTGGGGCTGGGACTGGCACCGCTCACACAGGGGGACAAGGATGCCAGGGAGACCCCCCGGACCCAGCACCGTAAGGGAAACTACAGCACTGCATGGCAACAGTGCTCCCAGCCCCTGGAATCACATCCATCCCATCCCACTGAGGGCACCAACAGCCGCCCGCACAATGAGCCCGACAGACCCCGGCCCTGCCAGAGAGTCCCCCTGGGCACAAAGGGACACTGACCCCTGGCCAAGGGCCATTTGCTGCCCGGGGCACCTTGTCCTGGGGGCCTGGTTTGGAGCTGCTTTTCCATCTCCATCCAAATCAAACCAAGGCACCCGAGCCAGGCACCTTTCCCAGGGCACTGCCCGGGCCAACAGCATCGCCCAGAGGGACCACAAGGGCTCTGAGGATGGCCAGGATCCACAGTTTCTGTAAGATATCAAGCTACAACATGGCAATGTCATTCCCTCCACTAACATTTATTCACAGAACATATTCCCATTTTCCTTGTCTGCATTTAATCACTAATTCTGTGATGGTGTCAGCTGGGAGCCAAGTAGCCAAACCACTGCCAACTGACCCCAAATCCCTACAAACCTGACACTGCCCTAGTTCTTCCTGTTTCATTCCCACAGGTACAGTGTCTCACTCAGCACCTGGACTACTTTTGCCTCCCCCCTTTGTGACTTCAAACTCCCTCTGGCACAGGTTATAAGCTCCTGCTTTCCAAAAGTGCTTCCCACTGACAGATTTGGCTGACCCAGCAGTGAGCCAGGCATGCTCCCTCTTCTCCCAGCACTTGCTCTGGGGCTTTTCCCCTTTCCCAGTGATTTGTGCTCACTGTCCAGGGGATCTACACTTGTTGCTTCAACCACAGGGCCGGTGGCAACTCCCTCCCGAGGCCTCGCTCCTGCCCCGCCCCCTGCTCTGGCTCTGGCTTGGATACACCATCTCCATTCCATGGTGCTGCCTTCCTGAGCAGGGCCTGGCCTGGGCACCCTGGAGGAGCTTTGTACCCACGGCCTTACGGGGATTTCAGGCCCTCTTATCATTTGTTGTTCCCACTAAAGCCCAAGAACATACTCAGAGCTGCTTCTCCAACAGGGTCCATCTTGGGCTGGCTTCCAGTAACTTCCTGTTCCCAAATCCTAAGGGCACTTCCTTCCTACCTGGAACAGTTCATTAGGATACATGCCAACAAGAAAGACAAGTGCCACAAGCATTCAAACACACAAAATAGCTTTATTGCAGTGAGAATAATAATAATAATAATAATAATAAACTTGGCAAAGAGAATCAAAAGTTAAAAAGGATACAAATGAACTACCTTATCATGTGGCATTAAAACAAATAGTGAGAACAGCATTCAATACAGTATAATATTAACTAGTTAAAAGGGAGTTAAAGGGATACCAAAAAGGATCTTAACACAATATTATGGATAACTATTAACACGATATCTGGTTAGTAAAAGGGGAAATTAAAGGGAAAATATTATGAATACTAAATGAAGGGTATTAAAGGAACACTAAAGGATATTTAAAGTCTTCTTTCTCTGTTGCCTCCCATCACTACACTGTGCCCACCCCCCCAGCCAGGCAGGGCTGTCAGGATCTGCAGCAGCTGGTCGGTGCCCATCCCTTAGCGGGCGTCCCCGCGGAGCAACACAGGCTCGGTGGCAGGATGAGGATCGCTCAGCTCAGCAGTCCTGACAGCCCATTTTATCAGCTCCACATTACACCACGTAGGGCCAGGACGCAGTGTAAGGGGAGGCCTGAATGGCAGCCAAACACCGCCCGATCATGGCCTGATGGCAACAGTCTGGGCCTGCCCTACCTGTAGGGCAAGGGGCCAGCCACCCCTGCCCACATCATCTTCCTCTCACCAGCATCCTTCTCACCCCTAGGTATGACCTCTCCCATGGTGTTTCAAGGGCAGATGTACCTACCTTGCAATATGTAGAAGAACCAAGGAAGAACTCAGCTCTGATCACAGGGGATGTCAGGCTGACTTGCTGAAAAGCACAATGGACCTTACAATTAGCTTGTGCCATCAAGTTACATTGTACCACACTCCAGCTGGTTTCACATCCTAATAGGATTTCTTTCTGGGGGGGGGGGGGGGGGGGGGGGGAGGGGGGGGGGGGGAGGAGGGGGGGGGGGGGGGGGGGGGGTCTTTCTCACACCTCTATGCTCCATTGATCATCTAATTCAAAAGTACCCCCCTTACATGACCCTACTTCTGCCAGGGGCTCCAATTGGCATCATTATCACTGGCAGGAACCTTTAGTTGCCCCTCTCTGGCTCCTATTGGTCACAGGTCTGGAGCCTGTTGAATTGCTCCCTGAGCTGTTTCCAACCCTCCCTGCTGCTCATTTCCCACTCAAACTCACACTTCTGTCCTGAGGCTTTATGGCACAGGCCAAGGATTGGTCCCAAAGGAGGACCTGGTTGTCACCAAAAGCCAAACAAACCAATAAACTGCTGGGCTTCCACCTGGCTCTGGGGGTGACCAAGCCTGAAGTCTCCTGCCTAGTCCTGGGCAACACTTCCTGGGGACCACAGCACCTCTGAGTTCCTAAAAATATCACAGGTTGGGCAGGTGCTTGGATTTGGTCTGGATTAACTCCCCCCTTCCTTTCCAGGTGCTGCACTACTCATTCTAATGGTGCTTGTACTCCCTGAACCATTCCCTCACCCATCCAACCATCCCTTGTCCCCTCTCTGACAAGGACAGTGGCTCCAGGTGTTCTGCCACGCTCCCAGGGCACAGGGGGGGACTGTGGAGCCACCCTCGAGGGGGGAAACGTGCCCTGCCTGCCCTGCCCAGGGAAAGGGAACTGCCCCCAGTGTTCCCCAGCACAAGGCACCCTTGGAAATATCCACTGCAATGGGACACTCAGGGACAGCAACAAGCACTGCACGAGGCTGCTCTGGCACAGGACCAATTTTAAGCTCAGCTTTTCTCTGGACCACTTCATTTGGTTTCCCACCTCATCCTGCAGTCAGAACTTGCTCTTCTTGCAACTTTTTAGGGTGACCACAAATTAAAGAGGCCTCTGCTCCAGCACCCACGAGGGCCTGAACCATCTGACAGGATCCATTTTTCCAGGGAATTCAAAGCTCCACCTGAGGAACAGGGCATCCTGAACAAACCCATCCCAACTCCACAGGACAAACTGCTCCCTCTCTGCCCAGTCCAGTCTAATCCCAGAGGCTCCCAGATCGTGCAGAACAACAACCCAGGAGATCAGAGACTCCAGTCCATCTCTTCCTAGCACAGGTTTGGGTGAGTTTGGCAAATAGAGAGACTCAGGAATTACCCAATGTTTTCCCAGTTTAACCCCTGTCACACCAATCACCTGAACACTGCCAGTCCTTAATTCTCCCTCTCTTGGGTTAAGGACTGAGGAAGTTGGACCTGTGTCTGACCAGGACAGGTGCAAACCAAATGCTGGGGACTGGAACACACACCTGGCACTCCTGCAGCTCTCACAGTCACATTCCAGAGGAAACAGCCAATTGGACCCTCCCTGCTCATTTCTTAATCCCAATCCCACACTTCTTTGGCACTTGGAGCACCACTTTTATCACCCAATTCCAGGCCATTAGAGAGCTCCATGTCTAGCAGGGACAGGGACCCCTGGGATACTCTCAGCAATGCCTGAATCCATGGCAGGGACCTTGCTTTGAGCTCCCCAGGGCCGGGCACCCCGAGGATCTCCCCGAATAATCCTTTCGGTGCGCGCTGGAGTCCTCGGGGTGCCCCAACCCGGGGGGCACCAACAGCACTGTCCCTACAGGGGGCCAATTTGGTCTCAAGCTTGCCATGGACAGCCCAAAAGGCATTTCAAGAGGCCTTCTTTGGAACCCACCCACGGGTACGGGGAGGAAGCCACAAGAAGGCCTCATTTCTAAAGGCAGGGGGATCTTGCGTGTGTCCCAGACTGGTCCGGGGATCTGAGGCCCTTCCCGAGAAAATCTCGGTGCCGGCGTGAAGGGCCAGAGATCCCTTGGAGCCACGGGAGAGCAGGCACAGAGTCCCTCCTGGGGGGCAATTCTGCTGCCTGAAATCAGCTCTTCAGAGAAACCTCTAAGGCTCAGCTGGTGAGTTTTAGAAGCCAGGCATTCCTTGCTTACAACACCCTGCCATGATCCCAGCCCCACGGGGGTCCTGGCAATCAGCCCCCAAAGGGCACACGGAGGGGTCTCCACTGCAGCTGATGGGAGGGGTCACCATTACAGGAGGGTTCATTTTCCTTCCCTGCATTCCTGTTCCACATTCAGGACATACTCCAACACTTATTAACTACACACACCTACCCTTAGAATGTTTCCAAGGGGCTTCACTGAGGGCCTTCCCAGGTCTGCTCTGTCTGGAGCCCTCAAAGTCCTCAGGGCCTGCCTGAGGAACCTCAACACAACTCACCTGCTGACACAGCAACTTGGTGCTGCTTGGCTGCTGCCTCACTTCCCTTCTTCTTTGTTTCTTCACCTCCTTTGCTTGGTCCCTTTCAATCCCTGGGCTCAGCTCTGTGCACTTTCCAGGCTACATCCCACTGCAAAAACAATTAGTGCTTGTTACATCTCAAAACTCAGAGAGTATTCCCCCTTTATTCTTGACAGTCAGCCATCAGGCCAGTGTCTCATTATTTAAAGCAGTTTGACTCCTCAGTGACAACAACTGACAGCCCTGAATCCTAACACAGGCTGAGACACAAACACGGATGGGAACTGTGAAGGATCCACTTTGTCCTCCTCACCAACCAAAAGGAGCTTTCTGAACTCAAGAATAAGAGACCCCAGGTCCTTTTTCTGCAATGTCAACTGCTATAGATGTGACCCACAAGACCTGCAAAGGCCCTTCCCACTTCCCCTGCAGGGCTGGCAGTGCCACCACTGGACACGGACCCAGGGGCTGGGCAGGAACGGAGGGGCTGGGGCGTCCAATCCATCGGCCCAGGTGGCACCAGGAGTTCCTGCAGTTCCTGAGGGGAGAGCCTCAAGACAACAAAGGATTAGGAAAAGGATCATTTTAAACTTTAATATGTCTATCTCCTGGAACACGGGGAGTTTGACAAGGCCTACTGGTGCAACAAGGGCACACTCAAGGCTATCTATTCAAAGGATCTACCAGCACTCAAAAGCTGTCACTGTCCTTCTTACAGGGGGAACTCAGGAAACTCTGTTTGCCAAGAGCCTCCAGGAGGATTTCCAGCTTTTGGGGCTCCCTTTTAACTATTTTTCCCATCACTGTAGCTGGGACTATCACCTGCCCTGCAGGGGGAACAGCCCACAAAGTTCACTTGCAGGGATGCCATTAACTCAAAGTCCCTTCTCAGGGGGGTCACTGCACACCTTGGCCTTTGTTTGCCCTCCCCACCAAAGATGATTCCAACAGTTCTGAGAGATCTGGCAGACCCAGAGCTCTCCTCAGGGAATGCTTCAGCTGCTTAAAGACTGCCCTTGCACCATCTAGACAAGGCAGCAAATGCTTACAGGCTGTTCTGTAAAGTTGGCATAACAGTCTTACTGCACATCCAGAGGGAGCAATCCAGAGTCCACCCCGTCCTACCATTCCCAGCAAGGCAGTTCGTGGGCTGTCTGGGGCTCAGGGAGGAGTCACTTGGCTGCTTTTCTTCCTTCCTGCTTTCCGGATTCTCTCCTTCCAAAGCAAAGGTTTCTTGGCTTTCCTTGCTCAAGGAGATGCAGCAAAGGCCATCTTTTCAATCCAATACTGGAAACTCCTCGAGGTTGTCATTCAAGGTGCTTCTCTCAGGTCCTGCACTCATCAATCCCCTTGGCCATTGGTTTTCTTGGCAGGTTCTTGCATTCACGTCCTACAAGCAAACCAGGATGAGCAAATTCAGCTGTTACTGCAACCAATCCAAGCTGGCATTCTGATTTTAAAGGATACTGGCTTTGCCTTATCAGGAGAGATCCCACATCAGGGGTAATACCTACAGGTTCTGCCCTCTTCCACTCTCCTGCAGTTCCACTGGCCCACACCACAGGAACAACTGCAGCTGCCACTTCAGTCAGGGCCTTGCTGCTGACAGGAGTTATTCCCTGCACAACAAGAGCTGCTGCTTGGACACATTGAGTTTCACCAATTACAGTTTCAATATCCCCAGTTTTCCATTTCATTTCTGCCTCAAGTTTTT